TTACCTTAGCCATTGATAGATACTCTGTGGTTGAATGTGATTACCTCAGCCATTGATAGATACTTCACTGACGCCCTGTGAATGGATATGAATATCTCAGTCATAGATAGATACTCTGTGGTTGAATATGATTACCTCAGCCATTGATAGATACTTCATTGACGCCTTGTGAATGGATATGAATATCTTAGTCATAGATAGATACTCTGTGGTTGAAATGATTACCTTAGTCATTGATTGATACTCTTTGGTTGAATGTGATTACCTCAGTCATTGATAGATACTCTGTGGTTGAATATGATTTCCTCAGCCATAGATATATACTTCATCGAATTCCCGTGGTGTGCCGGGGGTGCATGCTTCATCTATATTTGTCGGTGCATCTTTATTCAATGTTCTGTTGGTAGATACTGTACTGGGGTTCTGGGTAGTGGAGATTGAGTTGTGATGTTGGGCTGGATGTAATAGAAGTTCGTCGACATTTGATATCTTCACATGTTTAAAACCCTTTGTCCGACCACCCATACCAAAAGGTCGAGCATGAACGCTACACTTCATTATAAAGGTTGCTAATACCACTCTACCTTCTCTCTCTCTCCCTCTCTCTCGCGCGCGCAGGAACTACGACTACTATGGCTTCTTCCGGCTGTGTGGTGAGGCAGATTACATAACACTGTGCGCGCTGCACCCCATCATCGACCACGTGCGCAGCCTCGGTCTGAAAGGTACCTACATTGTACTTACATTGTACCCACATTGTACCTACATTGTACCTACATTGTACCTACATTTTACCTACATTGCGCGAGCGTGTCCGTGTGCGTGTTTGGCTGAAAGGGCAGCGTCTGCAAGTGATGTAGTATATGTAGCGTGAGATGTATGTGTATAAGTGTGTGCGTGTGAGTGTGTGGCTGAAAGGGCAGCGTCTGCAAGGGATGTCGTATATGTAGCATGAGATGTACGTGCATAAGTGTGTGCGTAGTTGGACCACTCTCGCGCGTGTAGCATCCGATGCGATTGTTCAGTGGTTACCATGGCAACGAGATACTATCATGTTTGCGTGAAGATAAAGGCCTGTGTACATGTGTGTGCTCCCTCACCTTTCGGACAGGACGGCTCGTGGCTGTTGTGTGCATTCACACAGTGTCTGTGTCTCATTACGCCATCGTAAGAGAATTTCATCCCTATGCTACGACGAGGTAGTGAAGGTGTATATAGCTATCTTATGCTACGAAGAGATAGTTAAGGTGTATGTGTATGTAACTATCTATCAGTGCGGGTGACCAATGAAGGTATGACTGCCAGTGCGTGTGATTGATATGCGGTTGTGTTCTCTGATGCTCATTGGCGTCTCAGTGTACGCCCCCACATCCCTGTGAGCGAGACTTCTCAATCTCGGGGCACAGTACGGCATATTAAATGATCATGTTTTTTGTGAACTCATACATGTGTACGTGTAGAAACGCACACACTCGGAGTTCACGTATGTAGGCATCCAGCGGGACACACACACACACGCACACCCGCACTTGCATCACGCTCACACGCACACACGCACACACGAGCACAATCACACTGCGGTATATATGCATCGTTCGCTGTCCTCGTTGCGTAGAATGTAAACGTTCAGGTGTTAGTGACTGACGCCAACAGTTGCTGGGATGTGCGGCTTAACGTATACAAACCACAGACTCAACTTCCTAAAACTCGCGGGCGGCCCCTGGACATTTTTTAACTGAAAGGGGCTGATTTGCACACAATCTCTCGTTGTCCAACGACGTGTAGTGTAGTGTAGTGTAGTATATAGTGTGGTATAGTGTAGTGTAGTGTAGTGTAGTGTAGTGTAGTGTAGTATAGTGTAGTGTAGTGTAGTGTAGTGTAGTGTAATGTAGCGTAGTGTAGTGTAGTGTAGTGTAGTGTAGTGTAGTGTAGTGTAGTGTAGTGTTATGCCCTCCCGCTGACGTCTCACACTCATCCCTTGACCCCTCCTCAGTCATTCACGGCAGTTTTGGCGATGGCAAGATACCTCTGGCTGATCTCGTGCGCACGATGAAGTTCAACTCACAAGTCGACGCACAGGCCTTTGTTGAGAACCACGGGCTATCGGTCCACGCCGAGACAGTGGCGCGTAATGAAGGTGTGTGTGTGTGTGTGAGAGAGAGTGTGTGTGTTTGCGCTGTTGGTCGGTGTGCGTGACTGCGTGTAGTGTGGTGTCTGTCTAATGGGAAGGGGGTTAGTGTTGTGTACTTCCAAAGGGAAAGAGTTTTATGTTGTATACGTATAGTAAGAACGGATTGAGTATTGGGTACTTCTGACGGGAAAGGGCTTATTGCTGTAAACGTATATTACAAACGGATTGCGTGTTGTGTACGTTTAAGGAGAAAAGGTTCAGTGGTATAGAGGGTATCCGGTCTACTTTGGGATGGGATACGCCAATGGGCATCCGAAGGGTTTTACGTGTGGCTGTTTAGAGTATATGATAGTGGCTAAGATTTCGTGCTCACATGTGTATATAGACAAAGGTCGATACTGTACTTCCGTTCACGCAACTGCCACCACTGCTATTCTACATATATATACCACGTGCGCTGTTATATATATATATATATATTCATATATATGCATACACACACACACGCACACACACACACACACACACACACACACACACACACACACCACACACACACACACACACACACA